TGCCCAGGTGTGCAGTGGGGCTATGGCTCATTAACATTAGCATCACATAAACCTCACTACTCATCTGTTATCTCCCGGGCTGCAGGTACTCAGATGCCAGTTTCTTTCTGCAAGACCAGCAGCTGCTGCAGTAACACCCAGTTGCACCAGATCATGCGTTTTAACCCTTTGCTTCCCAACACTGAGAATTTATTCATCTTTTCACCAGTCCTGTTTCCCAGCAAGAAGGCTGGGAATAAAGAGTTGACCAAATCTGCCAGCTTTTTTGGCTGCAGCATCATTTACCTGCCCTGTACCAACCTCTAATCCCAGTCTTGAAAAATCTACATTACTCAAACCATACTGACATATTTCAGCTCCACTTTCTAAAGCAGCTTCCTATTTTTCAGGCTTTTTTCTCTTTAGGTGCCACACATTTTGAGGTAGATGCACAGAGCCAAGGCATTCAGCTTACTTTTGAAGATGATCCCATCACAAGATCTTTTGGTCCGACTATTGACCTGATTTATTTGTGCTTCCATTACCAAGGCACTCAATCGCACTTCTCAGGACAGTGATTTCATCCCCTTTCTATAAATTATGGTTATGGTTACCATACAGAAAGATATTTCAATGGCCAAATGGAAGAAACACTTAATTTCCCATTATAAATAAATACGGTGTTTTAAATAGGAGCACAATATAATCATTGGAGAATTAGAAAAAAAAAAACAGTATTACACATTTTAAAATATGAATTTCAAAGAGTTTCTCTCTTTAACACAAATAATGAAAGTAGGCAGTTCATAAGCACTTACAAAAAATGAAATGAGCTGATAACCATAACGGTCTCTTCAGATGCAAAGGCCCAGCTACCATAAGCTCTCTGATTTGCAAAATATATGAATGTGACCTCTTACTATTTAAAATGACCTCTTTGGCCTAATTTATGAAACCACTACAATTTCTGGTTCATATTACAGCTGTCTTAAAAATAATGTTCCATGTCCTATGGGAAGCATCTTGGTGGGCATCTACCCACTTTCCAAAATATATGTTTTACCCAGTTAAATGATAATTCCTATTAAAATATTCCTATTAAAAGGAATATTCCTATTAAAAGGAATATTCCTATTAAAAGTTCCAGAGCCTCTTATCGCATCATAAATAATAGTTCTGCTGCTTCAATCATTTATTTTAACATGAACCTAGAAAACCACCCACTTACAGATATCCCTGCTCCATTTTTCACCATCAGGGCTAAGGAAATGCTCAAAATACTTCAAAAATATTTATTTTCTTGCAAGCATTGAAATCAGTTTGTTTGCTTTCCCAAATTGAGATGCATAATCTCGAGAGACCTGAGCCTGATACATTCTCTTTCGTAACCAGAGAGATACAGGTCAAGCTGCTCTGCAGACCTCAGCTGCGATAACACGCCACATGCTTGCAAAAAGACATCAATTTTTAAACTCCCAAGGCTACTGAATTCCTAGGGTTTAAGAAAATCATCAGCATGCAGTCAAGTGTATTCTGACGGTTCACAAAATGTTCACATGCACTGATATGACCATTGGCTTCTGTGCAAATCCAGAAGGCAGAATCTATTCAGAAATGATCTCTCAGAGAAGATTTAGAGAACAGAGCAGCACTGACTGTGTTATTTAGGGATGTGGTACCTATAACACGGGCAATATTTTGAAAACCTCACAGATTGCCTTCATTATCATAGGGTATAGCTATTATTATATTATATATACACTATTATATACTATTATTATAAATACATATATTTATATATTTATATATTATAGCATATATGATATATAATTATATCATAGTTATAATTATTTATAATTATATAATGTAAATATATATAATATATTATTTAATAAATCTATTATAATTATATAATTATATAATTATATATTTATATATTTTATATGTAATTATAATATATTATAGGTATAATAATATATGTATATTATTTTTATATTGATACCATTATAGTATAGGGGCATAGCTGAGTGCATGACTAAAATATCATCATTTTCTGTTCTCTATGCAAAAACACTATTTCCAGATTCACAGTTTTAATGTCCTTTAAATCGAGTGTGAAGGTGAAAGAAGTGATTTGCTTTGGGTTTAGTTAGATGTCGTGTTCAAAAAACTGCTATAAAATGCCCACTGTTTGGAGAGGGTCAAGGAGAAACAGAGAACAATCACTTAAGACCAGAATCCACCTTTACATCGCTCAGTATGGTTGCTCACTTAAAGATCATCCTTTCTTCTTCCAACTTTTTCTTTAATTAGATTGTCAAATATCATTGGTTGAAGAGCCAAAAGAGTTTCCCATTTCAGCAATTCACCTGTGGCAGGCTGTAATGACTGTCTTCACCCCCAAAATACGCTACACATTTTGTACACAATCAACCAAAAAGCACTTTCCCCCCCAAAAAACCTTCTCAGTAGTTTAAGATTTGGAGTAAGGTAAGTCTGTCTTTTCCTATGAGCAGGAGACAGCATGAAGCAAAGTTTGCACACACAGTAGAGGAGCACCTTATTTCTGCAGACACTCAGGTATCACTGTCTTGCGACTGATATGCTTGGTCCAATATTAAGCTGGGCACAAGGATGAGACTTGTTTATACAAAAGGTGAAATGTCTGTAAAATTGAGTGTGACAAGATCCCTAAGAACCTTGGTAAGTGTCAATCATCCTATCCCTATTATTATTTTCAAGTAATTAATCATAAGAGTGTCTGGTGTCAGCTCAATAATGAATTGAATACCCTAATTCCATTTATGATTAAATACACCAACTGTGGTTATATAAAGTGCAACACACCGGAGGACTTTATACTCAGGTTCCAACATCACCTTAGGAATAAAGAATACTTCATCAGTCCGTTTTTTATTCAGGCAAATTCCTTTATCATTCTTTAATTAACTGCTAGGGCGTGTTTCTGTTTAGCATTACAACAAGAAATAACTGCAGCTGGCCTCACACTCAGGGCTACTATTATCTCCCTAGAAGTGAGGACAATCAATATTCCAGGGGGGACGGGTATTGAAATTGCCTCCTGAGTAACTTAGAGATCAATAATCATGACAGAAAATGGAAGGGAGATTTGCATTTGAAGGAATCCCAAGGAGGCCCCTGAGGACAGAACTGAGTACAAAGACAAAACGAGTATCCTCTAACTCAGTTCTTCTGTGATTGAAGTCCCAGTCATAGGGATTTTTGTTCCCGGACAAGCTTTAACCACCCAGTTAGGTAGGTGTTCCAGCAGCTTATTGACCGCATAGCGAAGACCGGGATATGGTTCTAGGGTATGTGGATACAAACTTGTTTTTATTCCTGTTAACCATCTCATCAGTATTTATAACCACATAATTTAGATTTGGATCATGTAAATAATGTATATTCTCATTCAAATCTGACTTGCATTAAGGTCAAGTTCAGCACAACCACTACACAAGAACGTCCCATCCTTTTGTATACAGCAATCATTAAACCCAAAGTAAAGGACCATGTCCATGGAGCCTGGCGATCTGAGAGAATTCTCAGGCATTTCTATAAATTAAGAGGATGCCATTCCACTCAGCTACAGGAAAGAAAAAAGAAAAAAAAAAAAAAAGAAAGAAAGAAAAAGATTTTTGCTTTGCCAGCAGCTGGACAGCAGGGAGTCCAAGCAAGCCTGGGGAATGAAGCATGAATAGAAGTATGTGTATGTATAACTATTTGAAGAAAGATAAGGTTAGTAGAAGAACAGGATGCGTTGAGTACCCCATCCTCTATGAGCATCCCATTAAGATCATAGGACATTGATGCGCAACTTCTCCCACCCTCAGGAAGGCTCTTTTTCTAACCTGACTGTCTCAGACTAAAGAACAAAGATTAAATCAGCAGTGTCACATAACAACTCACAGAACTGGGACGAGATGAAGAGTAAAAGATCTCAATACACATCAGCTCTTAAAAAGTATATCCAAAATGAGGACATGGTCACCCAGGAACCTAGGATATCTGATGAGGACTCGATGCCCAACATCCCTTATTCTCCATGTCATCACAATTAATGCTGACCAGATTGACTGGACACTCACAAAATTATCTAAATGTTAAATATAAGAATGAAAGCTGGGGCCAATCTGCCTTTCTTTCTTGCATGTTCTCCCATTGAGCACTGCTATGTAAGCCGTATGATTGAATCATCAATAGAAAAAGATTAAATTAGTAAAAACAAATCAGTTTTCCTCCTTTCACTGTTATATGGATGCAGTAATAAGCAAAGTTCTGTCTAAATTTCCAAATTTATGGAAAAATTTATTCCATAAATATTTATTCCATAAATCTTTATTCCATAAATATTTATTCCATAAATATTTATTCCATAAATATTCCAAAATTCCAAAAATTATTAAACTTTCCTAATATTTTAATTGAAAATAATCAATGACTGTTGTCAGCCATGTTGAGCTTCTTCACTATTGTACATTTTCTAACGTACATTTGAAACAAGAGCTAAATAAGTGGCTGCCTTCAAACTTTACTACATTGTAGGAGAAAACTGGTGAAAACTTTAGTTAACCCTAGCTAATCCAAAATACCTGAGAAATGAGGTGAAGTGAGAAGGATCTGCAGCATTGAGAAGAATGTAAAAAAAGGTATTAAAAGGTATTTCCATAAAATGCACCTACCTGTAGGCACTGTACAATAAAATACAAAGCCCAACAGCACTTTGAAACTTGTATTTTGAAGTATTCAAAAATCGCTTTTTTGAAGCAATTTTTGGTTTTAAGTGGAGATTTAATTTGGTTTTAAGTGGAGATTTACTCTTTTTTTTTTTTTTTTGATCTTTTAGATCTTTTTAGATCTTTTTTCCTTTCTAAATCCCAAGCCTCTCAGACCATAATATCTCCAGGATGATCACCAACTCACAGGTATTTCATAATTGCCATGCTACCAGCCACAGTCCAAGACAATGACCCCACTACTCCACCCACAAGCCCCATTACCTCTTTCAAATCCTGCACGATAGCAGTGAGTCTCTCATTCTCTGCCTGCACGTTGGTGACCACTGCTCTGCTCTGTTTCAGCTCATTCTGCATCTCCAGAATCTTCCCTAGGTAATAAGCTTCCTTTGATGCAGACTCCTGGAGCAGAGTCTCCTCACGTGTTTCACCATCTTCAGCCACTTTGCGGTGAATGGAGAAGGACTGTCCAAATGCCTGCAACAGAAAAAAAGGCACATTATAAAACCACTGAAGCCCTAGAAAAACATTAGTAGGAATGAGCACCTGAGTAACTAGAGGGAATGGACTAAATCTGGCAGTCCCAAACTCTGACCTAATAAACATGGTCTTCACATCTTCCTAGCAGCAGGGGGTCACCATCTCACTTAGCTGCAATGAGGCATCTTGAAGCTATTCTCATTTGCAGTACTGAAATATGGCTCCTATCCAGGCAGCCTCCACTGAGATCAAGATGGTGTATTGCTAACTAGCCATTAATTAGTGCCTGTGGTTAACTCTCCTGAACGAGGCAAAGTGATATTCATCAATTCCTTTATTCTCTAGATCCACAAACTGTGCCCCATTTTGCCTTTCTTTTAAAGCATAAAGTATAGTTTGCAAATCTCTCTAAATTGCTTTTCTTATTCAATGTTACTTTATGCTGAGAACAGGCTTCATAGTAAGAGGAGACAGTGCAAAAAAGGCTTCTCATAAGCTGAAAGAAAGATAAATGTACCAAGCAGTGGCCACCTACATTACTGTTAGCCTAAACATGGAGTTTGACAGTTCTTTTCTTTCATTCCTTTCATTTGTACTTAATGTTCTCTGCTTACTCTTTTGTTCCTCTTTCCTTTGGGGAAATTACCAAAATATTTAAGTGTTCAGGAAGTTCCTGAGTAAGTAGGTAATTCTCAGTCATTTTCTTACTTTTCTTGCTACTGGCTTACAGTGATTAGCTTAATAAGGCAGCAATTCTCAGGGACAGTGTCTGAAGGGATGTTATTCTGCATAGCTCAGAATCAACTTGAAAGAGAGCAAAGTACAAGCCATGACAGTAGAAATGATGGAGATATCATTTGGCTATCAAAGACAGAAGAAAAAAAATGTAAGTACAGAAAAGCAAAATCTTTTTGTCTGAATTTTTAATCTTTAAAAACAGATACCTGGTCACAAATCATACAGCCTAACTCAGGAGAAAACCTAAAGAAGTAAGCCAATATTAAGAACATCTAAAGTAGGAAAAACTCTCATATCTTAACTGAGAGAACATACATCCCATACATCCCATACATCCACTGAAAGACTGTGATTTTATTTTTCCTACTTAGGAAAGAGATGTAGATATGGTAGTAGCTTTTCTTTCAGCAGGAATTGATTTCTGCCCGTACCTACCAACCACACAGCACGTAATACATTTGTTCTCACTGGTGACGCTGGTCTCCTTTGCCTCGCCACCAAGAAGAACCACTTGCCAAATGGAATTCTTTGTTTTACTGGCGGTATTTATAGCCTTTCAGAACACATTCAAAGTTTTACTGGCACCAGAACTGAAACAGTCCCTTAAAAACTTCAAAGCACAACCCTGCTCAGAACTTTGCAGCTTTTAAGTCTACTCTACTTGGAGAATTCTGTGAACTCAGCATTAAAGGATTCTAAAAATATTCAATAATGTATTAACCCAGCTGTCTTCTTGAAAGACTGCAAATTACCGAAATAGCAAGCATCAGCAACTTGCTGGATAGGATTTTCCAAATAACAAGAAATTCAATTTAACGAAACTCTTTTCCACTGATTCAGTCACTACACCTATGAATCTAAGACAAGTGTTTCAGAAACATTGCTAATAAATTACATCTCACAATTTATTCTTACATTAAAGTCGTATTGTGCCTAATTTGAGCTCTAAGCAAAAAGCACCAACCTATTAAAGATGAAGATAGATATCCAAGATAAAAATAATGGGCCACATATCCAGGGGGAAATCAAAATACAGAACCAAACAGCATGTGTGACAAATGGCTAGAGCATCTCATCATCCTTGAAGAAATGGGACCTGGAACCCCCTCTTTCACAGGACTGGACAGTTAAAATCCTATAGATAGAAACCCCACAGAAACCCCGTAGAAGCCCAAGCACATAGCAATGATGGGTTTCTAGGAACATACTATGTTTTCCTGAAATAATTTCTCTTTACTTAGAGCTCTGCTCCCTTTCAATCCGCAAAAAAGGCAAGCAAATAAAAATCCTGTGTTTATCAAACTGCCCTATGAACATAATTTAACAAAACAATTCATCCAAACAAATCTGTAATTATTATTTATACATAAAATCTGTTTCTTTGTTTAGCTCAATAGCACTGAGAATGTTTTCTAGAATCACTGCAACAGCCAGCATATGGCACCTAAGTAAAAAGGAAGCCTCATTATTGAATCGAACATTGCTCTCCATTTCGCTCCTCCTCCAATCTCAGAAACAAATATGTATTTCTAAAATGAGAGTAGGACAATGGATTGCTAAAGACATCTCGACTTCTTAGAAGATGAGTGAAGTCACTGAGTTCTAGTTGCACCATACCAGAGCAGTCCATATAGTCTTTTATTTAAGTTAAATCATTTAATTCGCTAGCTATTTTGCGAAATATATTTTTAAAAGCAATTATGAATTGTGTTGATTCTCGTTTGGATTTTTGTGCTAATCGTCAATATTCTAATATACATGTCATGCTATATACTTGCTCTTGCACAATACAACTTCACACCATGGTTTAAATCCTAATATTTGACATATATGAGCCCTACATAGGAAGGAAAAGGCAAATGTAACACACATACAGTGCATAAAAGCATAATCACAATGACAAGTTTTTAAATAGAAATTTTACCCTACAAGGTTGGACATCAAATTACTGTGTACATTCTTAACATTTCTTTGCACTGCAGAAAGTAGCTGAAAATCATTCAGGATTTATTTCCTAGGAAACTGAATTTTAATACTATTGTGTATTATTTGACTTCTTTCTTAAACTCCTATCAATATGTTAACATTTGAAGAAGAAAAGAATGAAAGGGAAATTATGCAACTCCATGCCTCAAGGGGAGAAACACACGGCATGCTGTCTTCTAATTGAAATGTAAGCAAAAGCTCCACAGGAATGCCAAAGAGTTACCACTTTCCAGAAATACACATTTAAGGACTTCCCTGGAACTACTCACTTTTATTGAGCTATACAGCAATACTTTTAAGGTTGTAACCAGGTATTTGTTCTACTCTAAGTTAATACTTAGAGTAATATGTTTTCCAATCTACAAAACCTTGGTATGATATAGGTATGGATATAGGCATGGACATTGCTGTATGTTGCAAATAACTGCGTACACCTACTTCACTGAAGTCATCCCTGTAATGGGACAAGCCAGCCACCTTCAAATCTGTCCACATCAACCAACCTTGCAACTGACACAACTGTCTCCCAATATTCAGCCATTTCCAGCCTGAATGTGACAATCTAACTCAAATCAGCATTTTATACATCTCACACGATCAAAAACATATGCAGGCTGCAGCCTCAAATGACCAAGGGCCACTCTGTGCAGTCTCCACAAGTACCTCATACATATGTCAGCCAGCAAAGAGCCAAAAGGTGACCAGAAGCAAGGACGTTCATATTGCAAAGAGGACCAGTAATGGATAAGATCTGAACTTGGGGGAATTTGGCATCAACAGAAGCATTTACTGTGGTGACCTGGATGCAAATGGCACCTGCATCAGGCATGGAAGCAAGACCAAGCAGACGAAGCTCTTTCAAAATTTCATAAGGTTGCAACCAGGCCTACAGACTAATGAAAAGCTTATTTGAGTTTAACTCAAGTGTGGCATACAAACTAGCTTGTTGAACATATCTGAGTCTATTCAATACGGGAACATACCACCATGTTATGGAAATCTGACTGGATTTCCTTGCTGCAGGCAAGGCTGAAGCACCATGCAAACATATATCAGACGTTCCCTGTTCTCATCATCGAATAAAATGTCAATATTTTTGTCAGATATTTACAGTGAAGGGATACCTTCACAACCAGGTTGGCTCCTAATGAGATGCTGCTGTTTCTGCCTAGAAGTACCATGTCATCTGCATTGCTACCACAGCTGTCCATATGGGCTTCTTCCTAAACCAAATTCCAGGAATTGCCAGGGTAGCAAGAGTGGGGCCACACTCTTCCATGCCTTTCCAACATTTCAGGTGGATCAGAACAAGTGTGTTAACGTATGCCACAGAGCTCTCTGTTACTGCTGAAGAAGTTACCTGCAGAAGCAAAGCACTCTGTGGTAACCACAGGAATGGTTCCCAGACTAAATGGTTTGTATTGTTTCTGTGATGGTATCTCCAATTGGCACTGTACTGTCCCTTGGAGATATATTACTTAATTACCTCAGTTATCTTCAGTATGATGCTGCCTTGCTGTAGATATACACTGTCACTTGTGATTACTCATGGAAGCCTCTTAGAATTCTCTCTTGGTCCCATGGTGGCCTTTAGTTTCAGCAGTCAGATTGCAGAGTATTTTTGACAAGTGCATCATCTTCCAAATTCAAATCTAGACTCAGACATGGCTGTATGACTTCTATCAGCCATGAACACCGAGATATTTTAATCATTTTGACAGAGACTATCATAACAGAGACCAATCCGAACTTCACACTATGATACCTCAAGTCGGCTTGAAAGAGTTACATGATGCTACCAAGTATTTTATATATATAGATATACATATACATATATATATATACACACACATATATTGAGAATTGAGGAACTCATAATAGTATGATGACTTTTTATATCTTAAAACTTCAAGTTGGAAAATGAAGAAACAACAAGCCTTAAACAATGATTAAATATTAGTTTGATATTATTATTATTAAATATTAGTTTGAGCACATCACAAAGGATATATATAGTGCCAGGTACAAGAAAATGGGCCAATTTGATCAGACAGGAAGGGGTAAAAGTTTCAGGTAAAGGCCCTTCGTCACTGAACTCAGAATAACCCCTGAGGGAAATTTTAACTTGAGAATAAAACTGGCATGAAATAAATAATGGATAAAAGTGATACAGATTTTTGAAAGTGCAGTTGAAAGATATGACTGATACAAACAAATAATATCTGCATGAATATTTATACATGAAATATAAACTGCAATGAAAATCTAGTGTG